ACAAAGTCCATGACGAACACACCCTCGTCAACTTATCTCACAACATTTGTAATCGCTTGTCCAATTTTTTTTTTATTTTTTTTACTATTTTTGGCTATTTTCGGAATTTCATGTCTTGTAGCTCTAGTTAAATATATTAGGTCATGAAAAGTTGTACATATCTTATTCTTGATTGTGATCCCAGAATTTGTTTTGTAAGGAAAAAATGACTGAAAATCCTATTTACGGCGTTTATATTGTCTCCAATGTTGATTTTCGTTTTTTCTTTGATGTGCGAGTGTTTATTACTATTGATAGCACCATGAATGTTGAATGAAAATAACCATGCAATATTTCTAGCCTAAAATACTAGTACGACGAGGCATGAAAATTAAAAATTGGTGCGTCTCAGTGCATGAAAATATTTTTTTTTTCCTGTATCTACATGAGAACACACAATAACAAAAAGCAATTTTTTTTTCTTCTTGTTTTTTAATCTAACAAGCCATTGCAATTAATGACCGACAAGGTTCTTGAGCTACAGTCAGCATATGTGATATGGCGGGGGTAGATAGAGCAGCTAGATACATATCTAGTAAAAATATTAGTAATATGAGTCCACTTTACTAGTAAAAAAACTAGTTAAATTGTATTCTATTTGATAAACAATCACACCCTTAATAAACCCATTTTATCAAAAAAATAACACATTGTTGTAAATTGGAACTCTTAATCTTCACCAAGCATCCATCAATCAACTAAGCATAAAAGATGTGCAGTAAAGAACAAGAAAAGAGAAGCAGAAAAGTCTATCTTATTCATCGGTATAATCACCCTTTTATAGGGTTTACAAGAGGGAAGCCCTACAACCTAATCCTACTGACTAATGGACTTCAGGCCCAATCATCTATTAGTAATGTCCATATTAATATATATTTATAACACTCCCCCTTGGACATTACTACATGCCTCATTAAAAATCTTGCTAATAAAAACCCAACTGGGGAAAAACAAATTAGTCAAGGGAAAAAGAGTACA